AATACAGAATCAATTCCAGAGTATTCTTTGGTTTTCCATCGTTGCTTTTGCCCCTGGTTTACCCGGCCTTCACTTGACTGCTCAGGATCTTGGGGTTTTTTTCACCCCTCATGATTCTGCATTCTATTCTGCCCGATGTCCTGCAATGAAATAATATGCATTGAGTCCTCTAACTTGCAGACAGCTGCTCATCTCCCCTCCCCTTCTTAACCTACCCTCCTTCATACCCCATAACTGAAACTAGCTATTTATAAAGAATTTCCAAGACCATGGCTGACTGCCACACCGCTTCCCAGAATGGGTCATTTCTGCCTTGTTTTTATAGTATACAGTCCTCAGATGTCCCCTTGCAAACCCTTTGCACCAAAACTGTGCTTTGCTTTGGCTTGTTCCACTCATGCTAAACTGCCGCATATTATTAAAATGCTGCATAATGTGGGGTTTTTTTCCTTTAGAGTGAAAAAGCACTTTAATTATGTCATATTGTAGAAGTATTTCAAATATTCTACATAAAAAACAAAAGAGAAAGGACATATAACCTTGGTTCAAAAAGCAGCTGAAAATTTTGAGGTAGGCTATAAGTATTATATGAAAGACATTATTGCCGTTTAAGTAAGGTTTTTTTCTATAGGAAACTAATCCTGAAATTTTGTTCTAAAGGCAGTTTAATCCATTTAAGAAGTGGGGGAAAGGAACTAAAAGAAAATACTCTCTAATGTGTAAACTATTTGTGATTCTGAAAAGAGGGACATTTCCTCTTTAACATTAGATAATCTACCCTTCATTCTCAAATTTTTATATTTCTTATCTAGAAAAAGAGCAAGTTGTAAACACTTATGTTGACCCAGTATTGTTTTTATCTGTTGTAGCAAAGAATAACATGAAGTAGAATTTTCAAAATTGTGTATGTTTTTTTTCTTTGTTGAAATCTAAGAGGAAACTATGAATGTTAGCCTTAGAAAGTGTTAAGACACCTCTACCTTGGAAAAATTCAATAATTGATGAAAATTTTTTTCTCTAAATGAAATGGATATAAAGTGGTGTGTATCCATGTCCTCACACATCTTCTATAATTTCAAAAGTTGCTGGTTTGCACACGAAGAAATGAGTCTCACTATTTTATGGTCATACCTTATATGGACCACAGAGGGATATTCTTCCTTCTAGGAATTAAGGGTTTAAACTCAATGATTTTAAACTTATGGACTTACTGGGACCATGTGTTGGATTATTTAATTTCCACATTTTTCAAAGATAAAGACATTCTTTGAAAGTGTTCACATATGAGCAGTTCTATTATTACTGTGTCCTTTGTTTTCTGAAAGGATGTAGCCACTCACTGACTGTTTTGAACTATTTTTTCTCCCTCAGAATTCTCTAGATTTACATGTTTTCTTATCCTGCATGTAGTATTTGCAAAATGGCCATGGAGAACCCTCCATTTTAGTCAGTTTCCTAATAGGATGGAGGCCGTGGTGTCAGCCCAATAGCTCAGTCGATCAGCTCACCTCAGCGCTGGGGAGATTGCTCTCAGGTTCAGTTTTCAGACGCAAGGCCGTTGCCCAGGACACTGGCTTCTCAGGCAGCTGTACCACCACCTGCTGCCAGCACAGGAAAGCACGGCTGGACCAGCGTGTGGTCTTGCGTTTGTGGCCACAGAAATGCAGTCTTATCGATACATGCACAGTGGGTCAGGTTTTCCAGAGACCAGCCGGCATAACAGTTTCCTCCTTTGTCTTAAGAACGACAACTGTGCAGCAGGCCTGGCGGTGGCCAGCGGTCTGGGCCTTCCCTGTCTCCATGGGGACGTGAGTGTGCAGCCTGCCCCCGGGGATGATGGTCTCCAGGCTCAATTCATAAAGGCCCCAGAGAAACTCGAGAAAGCATCTTGATCCCACAACCAGAACTGGCTCTGATCATTAACGGAGTCAGGTCCTCTGTCTTCAGGGCCCCACACCCCTTCCCTGTCCGGGCTAAGCACCGCCGCATTCTGCCGTCTATGGTCGTTGGAGGACAGTCACCCTGCCTTGTCTTTCCCGGCCTGGACGTTCTGCCTTCGAGGTGCAGATGTTGCTTGTCACTTCTCATACGTGAACTTGTGTACCGATTTGATGAGCGGGAAGTACTAAAAGGAAGTTTGACATTTCCCAGAATTGTGAGCCTGCACCGATTTGTACTTTTTATAACCAGTAGTTATTCTCAGAGGAGCTTCGATCAAGTTGTGAGTGACTGGTTATAGTTAATATGGGCAAATACGGTAATTGTGTTTTAACACTGACCCAAGGTGGCAATGTACCCGAGTCTCTCTGCAGGGCACTGTGCCTGATACTCAATATAATGTGCTCAGCGCCGCCCACCTAGCGCTAGAGGTGAAAACTAAATCAAGCTGGGTAATCAGTCTTAACAACGTGACTGGTTATTTGCGCCCCTGCCTCATCATCCGTTCGTGTTCTTGCTGATGCCTTTGCTTTAAAGCAAACCTTGCATTCACAGCTGCAGCTCCTTCTGCCCTTGGCCGTGCATCCCAGACGTGCACCTTGCAGCCCGTAACGGACACCTGATAGGCGGGCACTTGGTCAACGAACAGGCCTGCAGAAGGCTGCCTGCCGCGCCTGCTTTGAGTAACGCTGTAGTGTGATGACACTGCTTCTTGGGGAAATTCTGGAGGCAATGAGGAGAGGAGAGTTGATTGGGAAGATTATTCTCCTACCTTCAAGCAGTAGGACATAAGGAAGGTTGTTTTGCCACATAGAAAACCGGATGGAAAACACAAGTGGTCCGTGTTTGGTGTTTGTTTTATTTTAACAGTTGGTGACATGCATTCACTTTGCGTGTTACCCTCGTGGTAGCACGTACCTTTGCATGTCAGCATGAGAACGTGATTTCTAGTCCAAGATCTTCTAGCTGACGGGGCTGCTATCACAGTGCATGAGTGCAGCTGACCAGCGCGTCCAGTCAGGAGACGCTTCAAGGCTAATGAGCGTTGTCATCACTGTTGGTTTGCAAATGAAGTTGTCGCCAACATATCCGTCATTCCAAGATGCCATTCGCCCTAAAAATATGTATTGTCTTTGATACCTCTGTCTCACAAGTATGGTGCTTTGTTTGTTTGTGTGTTTGTTTTAAACCAAAGAAGGGGGCTGTTGATGTTTTCATTACCCTTTCTGTTTTACACCTTTCTTTGAGGACTCCCTTGTGAGAAAGGAAGGATACTCCTGCTAGAGATGCATCAGCAGACATGGACCACCGTGTTCCAGAAGTGTCAGCCTTTGAACTGGAGATTGTTCTGACCCTTTTCTCCTCTCAGTGTTCCTCTTCTTGGGATTCTGCCTCTTGAATGTGACCATCTCAAATTCAGACAAGCATTAACTTTAGCATTCATAGAAAAATGTTAGAGTATGCAGGCATTTGGGTGCTATCCTATTTATGGGTCATCTCTTTGGGTTATTTTTGTTCCTAGTAAAACACCATGATGGGAACATACTATCCTCAGTAAACTGTAAGTTACCAGGGAAAAGATCTTTGTGTTAGAGCGTAATTGATGCAAAGTATCACAGACCATTTTAATGTGAGAAGCATGTGCATATATTTTTTTGACCTGTTAAATTTTTCTTTTGCTTAGTGTAATAGAATCTTAGGTCAGTTGCTTCAGTTCTAAATGGGATGTCAGTGATCTTTGTGATCCTATGGCCCCCAAAAGAAGCAAAACAAATTTTTTCAGTATTTAATAAAGGATGACATTCATATCTAGCAATGAATAAGAAAACGTGTTTAAAAGCCATTTTACAGTCTAGACTATTTTGGAAGTATATCTAGGCTTGTGCTCTGCAGTCAGCACAAGGGCAAGCAAAAAGCAAGGATATAAGGGCCATGGGCCCTGCATCTTTAGATCTCAGGGTTTTATTGCAAGTAGGAGCCATCGTGTGCATTGCATTTGAGCCTGGGTACAAGACTGGTCTGAGCTAGCCTCTTGTTCCAGCCATCACCCCTTTGCTAGAACATTCTCTTTCTTCAAGAAATACATAAAGGTAATTTTTTTTTTTTTTTTTAGCATCTTGGCAACCCTTAATAAGCCTAACTTTGGTTTTCATCCACAGATGAAACCATAAAAATCAAAATAGAAACTTCACATTGAATGTAAGGTAAACCAAGGAAAGTATTTTTCAGAGTTACTTCATGTATTCCTCTTTTGTGAAATTAGCTCATTTTCCAGATACAAAAATAGATGCTAGGAAAGGAAGCTGCTTGAGAAATCGAGGAGGAAAATTATTTTTATTAAATTTGGCAAAGTGGATTTTTACATTTTGTGATGTATTCTTCATTCCCTACAAGTTCTAATGATTTATTTATCCTTTCTTCATTAAAATGGTAAGATATCAATTGACTTCAGCTTTTTGAGAACTTGCAGAATGAGACATGTGTTATGTTTGTGCAAAGATTATTAAACTAAGTTCTTAATGTAGAAATTTTCCTTTGGGTTATTAGTAATATCTCACAGGTCTAATTTTTATTACAAATTTGGCCTTCATTAAAGCTATTTAAAGCTTGTTCCAGATGGCACAAGTCTCTCCAAATGAGCCAATCTTAAAATAAATTTTTGTTATTAACTTGCTTTAAAAAAAAACTAATGTCATGGAATCTCACCTTTCTATTTCTACCAATTAGACTTTTTTTATTAGGAAGTCTTAATGTATAGGCCAAACATTTTGGTTCATTGGCTGAGTACTTTGTGATTGTATTTAAACAACACTTAGCTCTATTCATTAAATTAAGATTATTAACTAAACAAAAAATGTGCTAAAAGAACTTCAGAGTTCACCAAACGGGTAGAAACTACACACTGATTTTCTTTCTGTAAGTCGGTTGGTGCCAGGTGGTATCCTTACTCAGTTATGAACAGAAGGTGTTTAATAAAGCTTAGTTGTATCTCCTCTGGAACTTGGGAAGTTGGGTCCCGCCATTGCTTATAAACTCCAATGGTGATTCTTTCCTTTTCACAGTGCTCCAGCTGAGACTGCAGCAAAGGAGGACAAGGGAGCAACTGGTGGACCAGGGCATCATGCCACGTAAGATTAAGCATCACTGTCACCTCCAGTGTGATGTAACAAAATGCACATGTCTGAGGAGAACCTGGAGCACACTCTGCTTTGAGATGTGTCCATTGAGTCAATATACAATTACCAAATGAGCTGATAAGGAAAACCAGGCATCAGCATTGCCAACCTAAGAGAATCATCTCAAATACGTTCTGAAAACCAGATGTAGCTTAAAAGATGGGCTTGAATTCTGTATTACATAACAAAAACTGGGAAACTAGGTTAAGATCAGGTCTTATTTCATGCATGAACGTTTGTTTTAGTTTTGAAATAATTAAAGTCATCTCTGTGTAATAGGTCCAGTGTTACTTAGACTTGCAAAAGTAACATGATAAAATTAATTCAAAAACCTTGTTCTACTTTAATTTATTTAATTCAAAATAATTATCTTTGGTACAGTGTAGTGTGTGGTCTGTAATGAAGTGCATCTCCGTTATAGGACTAATAAGCATTCTATTTATAATTAATAAACCCTTTCTTGCCCAAGTGCACATAATTTCCAAGTATCTTGAGGCCTCCTTCCTTCATTTTTTAGAGTTGATTAATTTTAGAATATTTGCCCATTGTCTTCTTACCTTTACTCACTTAAGTTTGGAGGTGATTTTATATTTTAGAGGGGAATACTGGTTGCTTTGGTGTTAGGATTATTTATATGGATGTTTACCTAAAAATTGATTTATCCAAAAAGTAACTTATTTGGCTTTAAAAGACTAACGAGAAATTACAAAATGTTCTTATGCTTCTCTGTCCTCTGAATCATTGATATTACTTTTTTTTGGTTCATAGAACAATTTTTCTCTGCAGTAGATATTTTTCCCAATAAAACTTTTTTTCTGGACTACTAATAATTATCTAAATATTTTCAATCTAGTATCATGATAGACGCAAAAGCTGGTTTGATGATCTGCCAGATTTCTCTACCACTACATTCCTGACAATGAACCAATCAGATAGTATCAAATTAGGATGTTTAAGACACCACCACTAGTCCACTGTTGGGAGCTGGTCCCTAGTCAAACCCATTTGGGCTGGGCTCCGGGGAATCTTTGTGGTGCTTCAAGTACCAGAGCTGAAAATAATTCTGCCAAGAGCCGATAGGCCAAGTTTTGGAGGTGACAACCCAAGTAAGCATAGCCCAAATCCCATCCATATTATCTGACTGCCCGGAGTTATAAGTGGACGTACACACAAAAGGTTTTGCAAAGATAATTGATAGAAATACTGTAGTAAATGATGTTTTAACAAAAGATTGCTTATCCACACTCTGGGATTCTGGAATATTTAAAGTACTAACAGTTAACATATTAAAGAAGCACTATGTCTTTAGAGTAAGTTGTATTGTAGTACAATAGAAAGAGCATGAAACTTTGTAATTCCCAATTCTAGATTTAAATTCTACTTTGACCACAGTCTAGTTGTATGACTTTAAGAATTCATTTAACCGCTTTGAGCCTTTTTATCTGTACTGGGGCTAATACCTACCTTGCAAGGTGGTAGTGATGATCAACAGTGATGTAATGGTGATGGACCACAGCGCACAGTGCTATGAGCATATGGAGTCGCAGTGAATGGTGACTCAGCTCTGCTATGCAGAGAGCCCTCGTTTTCAAGATTAGATCACTCCTAGGTTAAATGTCCTGAGGATATTTGGGCTTTTTCCAGCATCTTATAGGGCCACTAAGAGCAAAGCCCTGTCAAGGAATCACCACACAGTCCCCTTGGTGGTGGTAATTTGGCCCAACTATTGGCTGCAACCGTCTGAGCTGGCATTTGCATTGTCATTATGTATACAGTTCTAGTTAAATGTTCACTTGTTTTATTTGTGAAGACATAATTTTAATTCTGAAACATTTATAAACGTTTTTAAATTTCACACATCTCCTAAAGGAACTAGTAATAAGTGGAACTGTAGATAAAACTAATAAGATTAAGAGGGAACATGGACATAATGTACTCTAACGTTTGACTGAAATATTAACACCTCTATCTCTACTCCCGAAATGATTCCTGTTCTTCTCACAGCTTTGAAGAGCCCAGCTGCATTCCATGAGCAGATAAAAAGCTTGGAACGAGCCAGAGTAAGAAATTACAGTTTCAAATGTTCTGTGCTTCTCTCTTTTATTTTAAAGTACCTGTGGGCAAGTAGCAGTCTTCCTCCTAAATATTGTCAATAGAGAAAATGCAGTGTATTTTCAGGACACATGGCATGTAGCGTAATATATTCTGGGGTGGTTTTAGCTTGGAAGTTTGTAGAAAATGCATGACGTTCACCTTTTGTTCATTTAAAACTTGTAACTAGTTTTGTACATAAAGGACAAATCACACCTCACTTTGTTGCTTTCGGGGCATACCAACAGTTTTTAGAATAATAATGGAGTAGTTCTGCCATTTGTAACCCCTGCAGACCAACAGCCCAGTGATGTCCTGACTTCCCCATCTTTAAGTAGTTTCTTTACTGGGTCCGTGGTAGCTGTACATTTGAAGGGCAGGAGGATTTGCTGAATAAAAGAATGTTGTTAGGTTCAACTCTGCTTTACTCTTTGAGAGGTTTCCATCTTATTTGCACATCGATTTCGTGTTTATTACTTTTCTTTTAAAGGACCCTTATGCACATTCATTCTTTTTCCTTTGCAATATGAAAATAAGCATGTTCCAAAAATTCCACAGGAATTTTCCCAGAATGCAATAATGGTCTCCTAGAATCTTATAAAATATAAAACCCATTTGAAAGCCTTATTGTTCAAGTTGAGAACTGTTCTGAATAAGAAAATATGATCAAGGATATGAATTCACCAACAAACATACATTAGGATTTTAGAGAAATTTGTAATTTAGGGGCGCCTGGGTGGTTCATTCGTTAAGCGTCTGCCTTCGGCTCAGGTCATGATCCCGGCGTCCTGAGATCGAGCCCCGCATCAGGCTCCCTGCTCCGCGGGAAGCCTGCTTCTCCCTCTCCCACTCCCCCTGCTTGTGTTCCCTCTTTTGCTGTGTCTCTCTCTGTCAAATAAATAAATAAGATCTTAAAAAAAAAAAAAAATTTGTAATTTAGGTGGATTTTTATGTGACCTGAAGTATAGATGTTTAGCTATTTAAATAATCAAAATCCTATGTCTGTTCAAATTATGAGCTTTTGCCTTTTCCAAGTTTTAAAATAAAAGTCTGTAGAGTGCTTACTTTATGCCAGCAGGCACTTCAACCCTGTACAGTTTTGAAGGCTGCAATTTAAATTATGTATCGGATAATAGCTTTTCAAAGTACTAATTTCTACTCTTTACTTCCCAAAATCATGACCAAAGAGTATACAATTTATTTAAATGGAGTACCTTGAGAGAAAAATGTAAAACCAGAAAAAGTCATAAACAATTTATGGTAAGACTCTCTCTCTTTTTTAAAGACTGAAAACTTTTTGAAGCATAAGATTCGGAGCCGACCAGATCGTTCTGAACTTGTCAGGATGCACATTTTAGAAGGTAAAATTTTTATTTCTGCTTATTTTGCTGTGTTTTCTCAAAAAAAGAAGTGAGAATTCCACCATTGTTGTTTATTCCCACTTTAGTAACTTTTTACCCTACAGGCTGACATCCTCCAAATTGGAGAGCAACATGAAGACCCAAAGCTAAAATGTTATGTTAGATACATGGGGAAGGGGGGTTTGATTCTCCAAATAACCAATTTGTGGACTGACTCTTCCCCCACCAACTGATGCCATAGATGTCTCTACCATCTGTTCTGGAAAAACATTTTTGGTCCAGAGGATGTCTTCATCAGTGAGGAACATATGCCCATTAAATCATGAAGGGTATAGTGGCCATGAGTCTATCCCTAGATTTTCAGCTACCTAGACCCAGTTATGTACCTGGTGCAGTGCCCACACTTAATGTCTTCTGTTTGTTGTTACTTACCCACAACAATCCCGCTTGATCTGACCATTAACATAAATACCCTCCACTCAGCCCCCCAGGTTTTCTCGATGGTCTAGCCTCATCACTTGTGAAGTGATGGTAGGGAAAGTTCTGTTCCATCTCATGAGACACGTGGCTTAGGCCTGGATGTTTTTCTCTCTAAGACAGACCATTCTTAAAAGCTGGTTTCCCCACTGTAAGTTCCAAAGTTACATTTTCTTTTGTTGTTTTGCTTCTCTGATTTATTGAGCAAGACCAGGAGCTTGACCCTGTGATAGTCTTGAGTGTGTTCAACCCTGAGATAACACAGAAAGAATCTGAAAATTTTTCAAATTGAGAGACAGTTCTCAAGTAGAAGGAATATTATATTTGTTCTTCTGGCCTAATGATAGAGTTAATATTAGAATTAGGTTGGTATTACAAAGTATTAGATTGTTGCTCAACATAAGAAATAATATCCTAAAGGTCAGACATGTCCAAAAATCTTCTGGAAGTGATATGGTTGCCCTCATTTGAGGTGGTCATTCATTGGCCAATGAGCTAGACCCCAGAGACCCAACAAGTGAGCCAGATGGATGCCTGCCTGCACAAAGCTTACATTCTGGTAGCACAGACAGATAATAAACAGGCAAAACAAATGAATTACAGATTGTGGAAAGTGCTCAATAGGCAAGAAAACAGGCTGCTGTGATAGGGACTAGGCACAGGCTGACACCACAGTAAGGACATTGTAAAGAAATTCCAAGGATCAAGTTGGTATCTATAGCCCGAAGTGGGGTTTCTTCTACTCCAAAGAATCTACGTATCTGGGGTGGGAGGTAAGAGGTCTGTGCCTTTCACTACTTTCGGTTGTGTTCTCAGAAGTCCATTGGACTAAAGCTTTCCCAGAACTGCAGTGTTAGGGTGGGAACAGCTACCTGCTGTCAGACATAAATGAATCTTCAAGAGGCAAATGTACTGGTAAGTAACTGGACAAATGGCTCCTTCTGTGCCTAAAAAGATCTTGACCTAGAAAGGACATTTTTGAAGGGAAAATGCTATCTGTTTCAACTTGCCTTCTAACTGTAACAGGCTTTATTAATATCATTAAAACCAGGGCAAATACATTTAACTTGATATCAAAAGGAATCATATTTGTTTTTTTAAAATAAAGATAACCCAACATTTAAAAACCTAACTATGTATATGAATGAACCATAAGTGATGTTTTTAGGACATCTGTTCTCAAGTTGGGATTTTTGAAGTAAGAAAGAATATATCATTTGTAATTTAAAAAATAACGTCAAACCACCCCCCAACTTATTTTTAAGATTATCCCAATTTTGATTGAATTGGATGTTTGGCAGGCAAAAGTCTAAATTATTTTTCTGAAGTTCAGCTAAAATTCAGCCTCAGCGCCAGAAAGATGAGGAGATGATAAGACCAAGATCAGAAACATAACAAAATGCCAGCCTCTCTTATTTGCTTTTGGGATATTTTCATTCCAGACGTATTCCTGATATTACTTGGATGTGTTGGTGTGAGAGAGGAGAAAGACTATCCTACCTAGATCTTAACAAAGCATTTAAACATCCACCTGAGAGTGATCTGCATGATCATCATCTTTCTTGCATAAACCACAGCTGTCGTACATCATCTACAATTTCCATTTAGGGTAGAAAAACAACATAAAGACCCTTGAAAAGCAATCTGAGTTGAAAATCCTAGATTTTACCATTTTCCCCAAATATTTTAGTTGTTAATTGCCCTAATTTGACAGCGATTTGTTTTTTAATGACTCACCTTTATCAAGTCCTCCCAAAGCATTTAAATTAGGTTCCCAAGAAATAATTTCATTTTTGAAGTTTATCATTTTCCTATAACATTTAGTTCAATTATGTATTGACATCAGATATGAACTGATAAGAACTGTTTTGTGGACAATCAAGGTTGACTTTCGGTAAGCATATAACTCGACTTGTGGAACGAAAAGTGTTCAGATGTGCTGGACAGTAGTTTATGGGCCATGGGCTTTTGGCGAGCTTTGGGCTTCAGCCAGGACATTTTACCTGCCAAAAAAAGAACATCAGTGATCCTGAGATTACTTATGGGGAATTTCATTCTTCTTCTACTATATAATTTAAGAGGCAAGTAACGGTCAACTCAGAATTTTGGGTTAACACCTCACCATTTTTTATCAGTTATAAACATTATTGAGAACAAAATAATAAAATGTTAATGAGAGGTACCAGAAATGCAAGTCATTGACAGAATTACCCAAATGAATGAGTTACGATATTTACATTACTTTCACATTTGTTGTACAATTTCATCCATTTGTAAGTAGATGAGTTGAGGCTTCTTTATGATCATTAGTTACCCAGTAATTGAATGTTTCAAAGTTATATATTCAGAACTAAACCCAGATTCTTAATTATGACCGACTCTGAGACACACAGGGACCAATCTAAGAATATGACCTGTAGCTCTTCCCATTGACTCCTGCAGAGAAGCTTATAACCTAAGATCAGTGCCCCTGTTTCTAGGAATTGACTTTCCAAGGCAGCCAAATCTAAAACTGTATACTTCTTGAGCCATGGACCACATCTCTCTTGTCCATCCTCCATACCCCCAATACCTAATAAATGTCAATGTAACCCTCCTGCCATAAATGAACGATAGCAGTACCCCAGTTTTTGGCTTCAGTTCATGTTAATTTGAGTCTGAGAGCATTGTATAGACAATATAAAGTATCCAGGATTAAAAATATACAAATGTATACTAGAGCATTCTTAAACGGTCATTTTCTCTTTCCATAAATACATTGAGAACACATAAATAAAAATATGTTTAAGCCAGTTTAAATTAAATTCAGTTGACCTGAAATAACATTATGGAATAGGGTAATTCAAGTAATGGTTAAAACTGTGTTTCCTCTTTTAGAGACATTTGCAGAGCCGTCCTTGCAGGCCACTCAGATGAAGCTGAAAAGAGCTCGACTAGCTGATGATCTGAATGAAAAGATTGCTCAAAGACCTGGTCCTATGGAGCTGGTAGAGAAAAACATCCTTCCCGTAGACTCCAGTGTTAAGGAAGCAATTATAGGCAAGACGCCAAAAATTTACTATTTTCTGGGAGAAAGAGGAACTTGGAAATTTAAAACAAATTTAACCTAAAAAGCCAGCACCAATTATGAGTGTTGTTTTCTGCGTGAAGTAGAAATTGATTAACACTTGCACCAATTCCCAATATTATTGTTATTTCTTTATGCTTGCTGAGACTAGCATCTCTTACCAGTTAACACAGAGATTCCTCTTGTCACATCTGAGGTTGATGTCCTTAGGTTCCAATTTCATTATGATGTTTTCTAAATTAACTTTATTGCATTACACCATTTAATTCCTCTTGTGTTAAGATTTTTACAGACTTCGTTATTTAATTCTGTTTACTTCTAGGAAAGATAAATTGCTTGTTCAGTATGAGTTCAGCAAAGTAAACAGCACATGAGTACAGATGTATTTATTAAGAAGGGTAATATCTGTCCATTTTATCCTGATCTTCTCACACTTAGTTACTAATGGTTCCACCTCCCCGTGCCTCCCCCCGCCCACAGGCTTTTTTTTCTGGCAAAAGTTTTAGCAGGAAAAAAAAATCTGGAATAATACCACTTATTCAGCAAGCAATTTTGAAAAGTTAATATCCTACTGTAAAAACTATTATAGTTTCCATTACTCTGGGGACTTCGTATTTTGTATTAGTATGAGTTTAAATCTTAGGCAGTTTGTAGTCAGTGATCCTAAGTAGTACATTCACTGATGATTCCATTCAGTCCCAAAGAAATAGGAGCCCAAAAGGTAAGGTGTCAGTATCACTGGGCCACTCCAAGAAGTAGGACTCATCAACAGATACCGAGTTGTGGCCCCATTTTCTCCCACGCCTCTTAATGTTTTTTAACAGTTGTATCCAAATCAGGATCCACACAAGATCTACACACCTTGTCTTTGGCTGATGTCTCTCTTACGTCTTAATCTCCTGTGTGGATCTTCTTCCTCCTCTTTTCTTACTGTGTATCTGTTGGGGAGCAGGCCTTATTATGTTCTCTAGCCTGTCCACATACTGGATCTTACTGAATGCATTAGCATTCCCAGTGTCACTGAAAATTTTTCTTGCCTTCTGTACTTCCTGAAACCAGTAGTTGGATCCAAAGGCTTGATCTGATTCAGGTCTGACTTTTTCCCCAAGTATTCATCATAGGTAGTGGTGTGTTCTTCCTCTGGGAAGTACATTATGTTCAATTTTTTTTTTTTTTTTTAAGCCAGCTTCTTACATTCTTGTAATAAACAATGTTTCTCCTTTATCATTTTAAGCTTGGTATTCCAAGGCCAAGATAAGTTGAAAATCATTTCTTTCTTTAGGCGTTGGGAAGGAGGACTATCCTCAGACTCAGGGCGATTTCTCATTTGACGAAGACAGCAGTGATGCCTTGTCTCCAGACCAGCCAGCCAGCCAGGAGTCACAGGGGTCAGCCGCGTCCCCAAGTGAGCCAAAAGTTAGCGAATCTCCGTCTCCTGTGACTACAAACACTCCAGCCCAGGTATCACCTTTCTCATTTCTCCCCCTAAACAGAGAGTGCCTTGTTTTTTATATATCAAGGTAACTACGTTTCTTCTTCTTCCAGAAGAAAATTTAAAAGTGTGGGAAAATAGAGATTTTTTTTTCACCTGTGATACAAACACTGTTAACATTTTTCAGTACATTCTTAGATTTTATTTCTGTTCTGTATCCACATTTTTATTTTACAAATGGTTGTGTAGTTTGCTTTTTAAAAATTTTTCTCATAACTTTTGTTGGGGATGTAATTCACATACTATAAAATAGACCCTCCCCCTCCTTCTTTTTTCTGCCCTCTTAACCGGTTTAAAATGTGCGACTCAGTCTTGTTAAGTACACTCTCATTGTTGTGCAGCAGATCTCCAGAACCTTTTTGTCTTGCAAAACTGAAACTGTACCCTTTAAACAGCAGCCCTCAGCCCCTTTCTCCGGGCTCTGACAATCACAATTCCATTTCCATTTCTAAGAATTTGACTACTTTAGGGTGGGGGGATGTGTGAAGTAGGTGATGGGGATTAAAGAGTACACTTATCACGAAGAGCACTGAGTCAGGTATAGAATTGCTGAATCACTGTATTGTCTCCCTGAAACTAATATAACATTGCATGTTAACTATACTGGAATTTAAATAAATACATATATACATACATACATATGAATTTGACTCCTTCAGATGTCTCATATAAGTGGAATCATACAATATTTGCCTTTCTGTGACTGGCTTCTGTCACTTAACATAAAATCTTCAAGGTTTGTTCATGTTGTGGGCTGTGACAGGATCGCCTTCATTTTTAAGGCTGAATAATATCCCATTATTTGGATATACCGTATTTTGTTTACCCATTCGTCAGTGGACATTGGGCTGCTTCCCTGTCTTGGCTATTGTGAATAATGGTGCTAGGTACACTGGTTTGGAAATACCTCTTCGAGACCCTGCTTTCAATTCTTTGGAGCATATACCCAGAAGTGGGATTGATGGATCATATGGGAATTCTGTCTTAAATTTATTAAGGAACCGCCATACCATTCTCCATAGTGGCTGTATACCATTTCACACTCCCACCAGCGGCATGCAAGGGTTTCAGTTTCACCACATCCTCACCAACACTTATTAATTGGTATGAAGTGATATCTTATTGTGGTTTTGATTTGCCTTTCTCTAAAGATTAGTGCTGTTAAGCATCTTTTCATATGTTTGTTGGCCATTTGTGTATCATCTTTGGAGATATATCTGTTTGAGTCCTTTGCCCATCTTTAATAAGATTATTTGTTTTTCTGCTGTTAAATTGTAGAAGTTTTTTGTATATTCTGGATATTAACCCCTTTTCAGATATATGATGAGCAAACATTTTCTCCCATTCTTTGTGTTGCCTTTTTCCTCTACTAATAGTGTCCTTTGAGGCACAGAAGTTTTTAAGTTTGATATAGTGCTATTTGTCTATTTTGGGGTTTGTTACCTGTGCTTTAGGTATTCTACTAAGAAATTATGGCCCAGTGCAGTGTTATGAAGCTTCTTCTCTCTGTTTTTTTCTAGGATTTTTATAGGCTTGAATCTTACATTTAGGTCTTTAACCCATTTTAATTTTTGTATATGCTGTACGATAAGGATCCATCTTCATTCTTTTGCATGTGAATATCCAATTTTCCCAGCATCATTTATTGAAGAGACTGTCCTTTCCCCTTGGCACTTCTGTTGAAGATCATTTGACCACATACATAATAATTTAAGGACTCTGAATTCTGTTGCATTGGCTTATATGTTTGTCTTGAAGTCAGGAAGCGTGAGACCTCCAACTTTGTTCTTTTTCAAGAATGTTTTTGGCTACTTGGGGGTCCCTTGAGATTCCATATGAATGTTAGGATGGATTTTTCTATTTCTATAAAAAATGGTACTGGGAAAATTCACCCTTTTAAAATGTCTAATTCAGTGGTTATTAACATATTCACAGAGCTGTGCAACTATCAACACTACCTGATTCCAGAACATTTTCATCATCCCAGAAAAGAAGCCCATACCCATTAGCAGTCATTCCCCATTATCCCCTCCACCAGCCCTAGGCCACCATCAGTCTACTTCTGTGTCTGGATTTGCCTCTTCTGGACATTTTATATAAATGGAATCATACAATATGTGATCTTTAGTGACTGGCTTCTCTTATTTGGTATGTTTTTAAGGTTCATCCATGTTACAGCCTGTATTAGTACATCATTTGTTATGGCTGAAAAATAGTCCATTGATATACCATATTTTGTGTGTCTGTTCATCACTCCATGGACATTTGATTGGGGCATGTGGCTATTATGTAGTCACATGTTCTACTCCTGAGCTATAGCCTCTAGACATGTGGCCGTTACGAATAATGGTGCTTTGAATGTGTGTGGACAAGTTTTTAGGTGGACGTGCGTTTTCAGTTCTCTTGGGTATTTACCTAGGAATGGAACTGCTGGGTCATGCAGGAGCTCTTATGTCTAAATCACTTTTATACCTTAATCATAATCCTTATAGTGTTCCTTGTCAATAAATTACATTAATCTCATTTTTAATAGGGTAGCTAAGTTCATCTTTTTTTTTTTTTAAGATTTTATTTATTTATTTGACAGAGAGAGAGAGAGAGAACAAGTGGGCAGAGAGGCAGGCAGAGGGAGAGGGAGAAGCAGGCTTCCTGTGGAGCAGGGAGCCCGATGGAGGGCTCGATCCCAGGACCCTGGGATCATGACCTGAGCTGAAGGCAGACACTTCCCACCGACTGAGCCCCCAGGCGCCCCAAGAGCCCCTGTTTTATTCTCACGTACTTGCTGCACACATCGTTTCTATACATACATTGTTGTGCACTTGTCTGATTATTTCTTTGGATAATAGCCAGATTTTGAAATGGATTTGAACCTTTTGTTAGGTAAAAGGTAGGCACTTGAACTGCCTTCTGGGGAGGTAATACAGGTCCCCACTGTCACTGTGTCTTTCCCACAAGCAGGTAATATCATTACTTTAAACCTTGCACACTGGAGATTTGAAAGTTTTAATTGACTCCTTGATTTTGGTTAGATTGAATTCATTTGTTCAACAGTATTTATTGAGCACCTGTTATGTGTCAGATTGTGTTGGGAACTGAAAATCTAGTGCATGCAAAGGAATCTAACAAATATTTTTTGATAATTGCATTGGAAATTCCCATGTCTTATTTTTCAATGGATGTTCCTCTTTCTTTTGGTTATATAAGAACTCTTATGCTAGTTAGTTTTTCATCTCCTTATAATGTTTTTGCCTTACTGAAATTTTAATAACTATTTAGTTATCTTAAAGTCACAGTTATTGATCTACTTAATGGAATTGGTTAGGTTCAGTAGAAAATGTTCTTGTTAAAGCCAAGCATCATAGAATTTTTGAGTTAGAAGGACTTTAGCAATTACCTGGCTTAACTCTTACACCAGACAAGGCCTGCGTTCAGAGAGGTACAGAAATCTGGGGATTCAAAATGTTTGCATATTTTCTTGCAGCATTTCTTCTCATTCGTGAATATATCTGTTGGGTAAGGACTAGGTCTCTGTTTCAGCACCATGTTCGTCATTGCCCTTACCACCATGATCTGAAATCCATTATTTGCTTATTGTATCTGTGCCTCCAACTAAATAAGATGTGAGCCCATCAGGATAGAGACTTTGACTTTTGGAGGACAAGAGCTACTTCAGAGAGAGAGAGAGTGTGTGTGTGTGTGTGTGTGTGTCCAGCATGTCCCACAGGCCCTTGGTGTGGAAAAAGTGTGCCACAGTTCAGCACCACAAGCACTGACAGGCGCCAGGCTTGTAGAAGCGGCCGTGTTTGTGTTCTTCCACTTGAGAGTAGAGCCTCTCCAGCTGGGCTTCATCAGAGGTTGTGTGGGTACCTAAGTTCATATTCTCCCGTCAGAGTTTCAGGGCAAGAGTGACTGGCCGCTTGGCTCGGCTGGAACCCAGTCTGGAAGAAGGTGGGGTCAGCGACCTGCCCATGGGCTGAGGTCGAAGCCGGCGGAAAGGGAGAGCGCGGGAGACCAGCCCTAACTGTATTCTCACATACCTGCTGCACCGTGGTTTTGAGCTTTAAAAATAGGGCTAAAAAGAATGTCAAGTATGCAAGTAAATAGCAGCAAAAAGCAGTTCTACTTAGCCATCTCGGCTGCTGGTTCTCTGAATAGGTCAGGATAGCAGACAGCTCTTAGCGTGGCCTCAGCTTTCAGTTACACGGGACTTTTGTCACGTCCGCCAGCTACCTGGTAATGGCGTCATGGCAGTTCCACTTGTGTGGTAGGAGACTGGCATTTCCCCTCTCCCTGCATCGCTCGTATTAGGTTTTTTACTTTGCTCTTGAAACTTGGTCTCCAGCTAAGTTTGTAAGTGAGAAGCTTTAACCAGACGGAATCCCACCCAGTGGGCTGACATTCCCAAAGTCCTTGAAGGAGAAAAGGAATGGCAGTGTTTCTTGAAGGATAAATGTGGTCTGTGTATTGCCAGAGTGCAAGGCACACTAAGCCCTGGGTCATTCCGGAACTGAAACGCCGGTTTTTATAACAGTGCTGTTGCTAGAGCCCAGGTTCCACCTACCCCGTGCAGGCCACGGACGGTCTGCTTTCTGTCTCAGGTCAGCAAGGCCTACGACAAAAGACCCACTTCGGAGGGTGGTACGCTGCCCACTCACACAGTCAAGGAAAAGAACCCAGAACCTAGCTAAGCTGGCTTGCCTCCACTTTACCTGGGGCGTAATGTCTGCCCCATATACCTTGAGACCTTCTTAAATTGTGTGTCCTTCATAAAATTCCCTTGTACTAAGTGTGTTAGTATTTTTAAGTAAGGAATCTGACAGAGATTCTCATGATTACACTTTTATTCATGCAATTAAAGAAGCACCTCCCCATTAACTGTGCTGTATTGATGTAGAAGAAAGAGGATCCTTGAGGAGGATTATAGGTAAGTTGTAGGTTTTTGGTTTTGGTCTTGTAATCAACTGCACAG